TCAAAATACGATAATTTTGAGCTGCTGATACGATAATTCAACATTTCCCACCTGGCAACACTGGTCCAGACCCTCGTACGAATTAAAGCAAAGGACAAGGAGCTGGTTTTAACCAGGCTCTTTTTGGCCATAATGGTGACAACTTTGTTATTTTTCAATACAAAATAGCTTTGGTCTCAAACTCTGGCATCAATGCATTTCTTCAATGAATGTCAGGTCTTAAATGTGTATTCATGGTGTTGAATTAGTTTCAAATGCTTTCTATGATTTCTTTCAAATATGTAAATTCAAATATTTGCAGGCAGTGTAAGTGACTCTTTCCAAAATCTTTTTCTTCTGACTACCAGGTGACAGGAAACAAGGCATCGTTCTAAGAAAAGAGAGCACATCATGAACAAACTGGGAACACACACATCTTAAAGGCAATAGCACTAATTTGACCTATTATACTCAACACAAAGTGATTTATTGAAGTTCTCACTGACACTTTTTTTAACCGTTAAGTCACTTCCAGTGTGAAATGTTTGTGTAACACGCAGCTAAGAGTCACACAGCAGATGCACACCTGAGAGCAGATATGGGAGAAAGATAACTAAATGTTCTCATACCTGTTTGGCCCCGTTGGGCCTAGAGCTACTGTGGTTTCTCTCTAATCCATCAAAACATTAAAGAACAGTGTCAGCATGTCCATCAGTGTGTGTTACTGTACATAAGAGCTTTGGCTCTGTGCTGATTTGAAACATTTAGATTTGTGTCACTACAATACTTAGGGAAAAATAAATATAAGCTATAGGGAATTCATTGCTGCTTCCCAACAGTCTGTAAAATGTAGGAAAGCTAATTCCAAACAAGTTGGAGTCTATGGGGGTCCAAATTCAGGGGCTGTCATGCGAAAGCTGAATTTGTCGGCCACTTACGTCACGGCGCCGCGCCGGAGACTGTCGAAAACTTCTCCGATTCGGTTATGTTAAATAAAAATCTGGCAGTAAAAATTAAAAGTTTCAAGTGTTTTTAATGCTTTCGTCATTTGCATAGACATGTTTTTATTATTATTCTTGTCAGAAATCAAACAAACTAATACAGCAAAATAAATGTGGATCCCTTAGTTCAAATATTGTCTTTAAGCTAATTTTGTTGTTTTATGATATTTTTAATACTAATAGATTGATATTTCCTTGTCACAGTTGCTATGTGACAAGACATGCCAGGATAAGGGCGGGAATAAAGCAGAAGGAAAGACCGTCCAAATTCACTGCCTCTTTATGGCGGCCTTCACGGTCAAAGGACCCAGCCCACCTAGACCGGGTAGCCTGTAAGCGAAAAAACTTTAAAAGAGGAAATGATGTCTCCGTTATTTCCAGGAGTGGATAAACATTTAACTACAAACACAAAGTTATAGTTTTAATGTCATTATTAAATGCCGTGAGTGTCTCAGCTGATTTGTGGTGTACCTCTGGGATCTATCCTTGGTCCCCTTCTACAAAATTTATTTGAATGCCTTCTCTTGGTGAGATTTTTAAGAAATATGTTGGTATTTCACCATGCAGATACCACAATAGCATATTCATGGAAAACATACAGCCACTCTTTCAATTTGTTTTCCTGACATTAAATATGTTCCACACACTCAGTTGTAAAAGGTCAGAGTTCACACAATTCTTTCAATTTATTGCTTCCAGTTTTGGAAAATTATCAAGTGTTGTAACTGATGTTGCTAGAAATCTTTTAAAGCCTTAAACTAACAGGTTACAAAAACTTTAAACATTTACTTTTTGTGAGATAGGCCTACAGCTGCCTTGTGCATTTTATCTTGCTCTTATTGCTTCTACTTAACAAGCAAGTTTAGTCTTGAAATTATCTCCTTTCATCTGGTGCCAGGCTTCATGTGGCTCCTGTGTTGTTACTATTGATGCTGCACAAGCAACGATTGGGAGATTGTGTTATCATAGGGGCCCCGGAGCCAGCTACCTGCACTGATGGTGCGACAAGAGACAATGAAAAGAAAAGAAAAAAAAGGCAAAAATCTGCAGAGTCCATGTTTGAACCTCTGGAGATTTTAGGTGTCAATGAGTGACATATGGTTGTGTTTTACTCTTGATCTGTTTTTAGCATTGATTTGACAAGTTGCTAAATTACTGATAAAGCCAAACTGGATGCAAACTGGCACTATGAGTGGTTGACAATGTTGTCAAGTAAATATTTTAAGTTTTAAATGTGTGAAAAGTCTTTCCTTCTTTTACAGCACTTCGTCACAAATGAGCCGTATCATCAGAAAATGTTTCCTGAATGCTTTTGTTTGGATTTGGTAGCAGGTTAATCCTGTGAAAAGCAAACTGTGAGGCGCGTAATGCCAAGGATTATCCACTTGTTTCGATTTTGGATCGAAACAAAAGGATTTTTTTTCAGCTGAGGTGTCAACTCAACTTGTTTGACATTTAAATTTACGGTGAACACAAATTATTTATAAGCAAATTGAAATACCAATGAAAATTTGAAGCTGTGTAAAACAACATAAAAGATTAAAATAACTTGAAATGCAACTGCTGGGGAAGCAACTTTAAACTTGCAGCCTGATGACTGTGAACGTCATAGAACCTGAAGAAAACTCTCTTTAATGTTAAACTGCAAACTGTAATTTGGGTGAACATTAGCTCTGTGCAAAGGCAGAAGTATAGTAACATTTACATGGAATTTAAAGCACTTCAACAATTATTAACTATCAAGTAAGTGGATCGCACTGATGACGAGGACATTTTGTGTTGCCACAGACTCGAGACTCAGGAGACGTCAGCGGGTGGTGTAACGTCAGCTCTGGAATGACAGCAACTCATGGCATCTGTCAGGTTTTAAAGAAAGGATGTCATGAGCAGTCTATCACAAAACTTTATGAATATTCAAGAATAGTCAAACAGTGCAATTTTTTAATTGATTTAGTTGTTTGGATGCTTTTGCTGCACAAGTTGCAAAAGTACAACATGCACTTAATCATATGGAGCTGCGTAGATTTGAATCTGTTGAATTTATCCAACGTAAAATGGCTCAGTTTGTGAGGCCATAGCTGATTTGGCACTTGGACTCTCCTGTAACTCATACCTTTACCTGCTGATTCAAAGAGATAAAAAAACAAGATCACATCAGGAAAAAAAGTTAAGTTGAGGCATGTTCTAGGCTACATTACTACCACAAAGATGTGGTACAAGGAAACGAGTTTGTTTTTCCAAGTACAAGATTGTATCTGCATTAGATGTTATCTGTAAAAATAAATCATTTTCTTCTTGTCATATTTAGTCTGAGGCAGTTGGAAAGAGAAATAAATCTAAAGGAAAAAATCTTAAACATTCACACAAGTGTACCATAATTCAATGTAAAATTTAGCCTAAAGTCATAAAATCATTAATTAATTTTTCAAAGTCCATGTTTGAGATGATGGTTTTTATTGGTTAAAAAATGCAGAAAGGTAAAACTTTATTATTTTATTTTTGGCAACCATGTTTCGACCTTTTTTGATGGTAATGAACAGGGGTGCAACAATACATATATCTGTATCATACCAGTACAATACAGGTTGAATTGAACAATAGAGATTTTTAAAATTTACTTTATCAACATGTCTTCTGAAGATGCTCTGTGTTGAAGGATCAGTGGATCTGTGTTCGACTACTCCACCTAGGCTGCACTGTTGAGCGCAGACCCACTGAGAAACTTGCTGTTTCAGCAACAGTTAATTTAAAAACTGTAGGTTTTTGAGGTTAAGCAAATGTTCATAATTAATATCAATAAATTACAAGTTAAGAAGGGCATGTAAATTTTTCTCTTTTTTTTTTTTCTATCAAAAAAATATTGAACCGTGAG